CACATTCAGCTATAAACTCACTGGTGGAGGAACCCACCCAGGACCATCAACCCCACGATTCCTACTCATAGTGAGCAGAGCCTCTTTCTCCTCAGCTCTCACTCATCCTGAACCCAGCACTCAACGGCTGGCCCTGAGGCTCTGCCTGCCTAACTAGACGGGTTCACCCCACTCCATCCCCACGGCTGGCCCTGTCTCAGCTGCAGATCAGCTGCCATTTACCAAGGGCTTCCTGTGTACCAAGCACCACGCCGAGCACATTTACAGTGTTACCGTGTTTTGTTTGCACAGCATCTGAGAAAATGAGTAATGTGAAGTGCTCTTCTCACTGCCTCCACCGCCTACCAGGACCACCGCTGCAGCCAGCCACCCGCCTCCTGACCCTCCCCTCCCTGGGTCCTGCTGAAAGCTTAAGTCCCAAGCTGTCGCTCCTCTGTCACAAACCTGCTCATGTCCCACATTTAGCTTAGAATGAAGCCCAGCTCGGGCTGGGGATTTAGCTCAGTGGTTCCAGCGTCTGCCTCGAAAGCGCAAGGACCGGAGTTTGATCCCCGGTACCAAAAAAAAAAAAAGAATGAAGCCCAGCCCATCCTGCATCCTGCTAACCCTGCTCCTGGCTGCTCTGAGCCCCTCTGCCCCTTCCCTCCCTTCTGTCCAAGCCATCCTGGCTGCCCTGATGTTCCACAGCAGACCACACGCTCCTTGCCAAGGGGCTCTGTGCTAACCTTTCCCTCCTTCCTTCCCTGCAGGGTTGTCTTATCTACTGCAATGGAATGAAGGACCCCCAGCCTCAGGACTTACACAGCAAACACTTACCTCACAGTTGCTGTGGCCAGAAGCCTGTGTGCCTCTGGCTGCAAATGCTCCATGGCTGTGGGCAGCCATCGGGGAACTGTGGTCACCTGAAAGCCCCCATGGCTGAGGACCTGCTTCCGGCTCTGACAGGAGCTGGCAGGATCCGCTCCTGGGAGTGTTGGAGCAGTCTCAGCTCCTCCCTGCATGGGGCTGGAAGCCAATTTTTGTTTTTCCTCCTACTGGGGATTGAACCCAAGGCCTTTTCCCTGAGCTACATCCCCATCCCTTTTTGCACTTATTTATTTATTTGTTAAATTTTGAGATGAGGTTTTGCTAAGTTGTTAAATTGCCCAGGCTGACTTGAGTATGAAATCCTCCTGCCTCAGCCCCCCCAGAGTATTAGGATTCCAGGCATCTGGGGCTTTACCCAGCTTGGAGACAAACTTCTGTTCCCTGTCAACTGGCTTCCCTCAAAAGGAGAAGAGGAGGAACAGTGTATTTGTATCCTAATCCCAGAAGCACACTGCCTTAGTTACTTTCTTAGGGTTGAGATACAAACCCGACAGACAAGCATCTAAGGAGGAGACATTTATTTTGGCTCACGGTTTGTAGAGGTTTCAGTCCATAGTCAGCTGGCTCCAAGGCAGAGGGGCAGAGTGGAGGAGAAAGAGCTATGGCGTGGGGGCAGGAAGTAGAGAAATCCCAGAAGGAAACCGGGAGTTCTGTCCTCCCAGGCCACATCTCAGTGGCCCACCTCCTCCCTGCAGGATGCACCTCCCAAATCACATTCAGCTATAAACGCACCAGTGGACTGAGCCACTGACTAGTGCCACATTCCTATGATCCAGTCATCTCCCCGAAGCCCACCTGTGAGCACATGGGGCTATGGGGTGAC